TCAGACCAAAGCACTTAAGTTTTACTTTATGTAGACCCCCAGCTGAATGATTTAATTGTGAAAAAGAATAATTTAAAGACATTATATGTCCACTTTAACTGACTTTATTGTGACATTTTGGGGAAAGGGGTTGTATTTTTAGTCACAACATCTCCGCTGTTTTACGGGGCCAAGCCAGACCTCTTTACATACTGTACTTGTGAACGAAGGTGGAGGCCTGGAGGAGCATGTTAACGTGAATTTAACTTGGCACGGCACTGTGCCCACATCAGACACACCTCTCCCAGGTTGGCAAGACCATCCAAAAGCTTAGCGAGGAGGGCAAGCCCGGGGCTCAGACTGAGACGTTATTATTCTCCTCTACAGGTGTTTCTTTGAAACGATGTGGGAGGAAAAAAAATGTGCTCATGGGATACAAGATGTACTCTKGCTAAATGTGTTCATAGATTTGCTTTTAATGGCAGTGCTGGAATGAAACTTGTAGAAATCTGTGATTTTTAAATCATTTGGATCAAAGTCTAATCTAACTTGGTGCAAATAAAATATTTCTGCTGTGTTGTGCCAACAGTAATATTCAGGGATTATGTTTATGAACTGGAGCTGCTGAGCTTGAYGCTGTTAAAACTAAGAAAATAGAAGCACTTCTTATTTGTAAGAATTCTCTGGCTGTCCAGTTTAGATCTTYAATTTCATGAAAAATTCAACCAGGTCCTACAGAAACGTGTTTTATGATGCACACTGACAATTTGTTGGACGTTTTGGGTTTTCCATGTTTTCTTCTGTCATTTTGATTTACATTTGATTTTATATTTTCATGAGGGGCTGGTTTCCATTACACCRTTTGGTGCAAAAGCAGTCTGACCTTAAACCGCCGACTGATTTGTGCGTCATTGTCCTGAGGGTCTCACCGTGCTCAAATATGATTAGCATCTGTTCTCAGTTTAAGGTCCTTATTCAYGAACCCTTTCTGCATTTTCACACCTTKTTCTTCATAATTTATCAATTTATTGACGTAAAAGTGACCATCTATWGTGTGTCAACTCATTTAAATGTGAATTCTTCACAGAGTGTATGTCATCAGATTGTGTCTAAACTATTCAAACTCAAACTTCAGRGTTCATTTAAAGGACAACTCATCCCCCAAAAAATCTCCTCTAAACTCATTCTATGACGTAATTTCATGAGCTTGGTTGTGGGATATCTGTAAATTGAACAACCGATCAGACACTTCCAGCCACAGTTTGGTGTACTGGAGTAGTTCTGTCTTATTATTTCAGATATCTAGAAGTAGGCTGTCACTATGAGGCTAATAAGATGTAGCAGGTAAAAGTGGATCAGCAGCTGCGGACTGAATTCCTCCTCCAACTTTTCTTAATTTGGTCTCAGCTGCTTAGCTTCTGGTGTTTTTGAGAGAAATACTGTGTTTTGACAGATGATAAACAAATCCACCAGAAATGTTCACAAACTTATCTCATAGAGACATGAARAACGCAGCTGCTGAGGAGACAAAACAGAGCTGCACTTCACTCTGTTCCATCAGTTGGGAGTAATAAAATCCAACAACAGAAATTCTGATTAAACTAGAGTTCAAGTAAGGAAAAATTGCCTAAACAGCTTTTGCAAAGAAAAAATAACATGACTAATTAAAGGTGTATGCAATACTTGAAGCAATATATGTATCATTATTGCATAGATAATAAAGGCATATCACCTATAGAGTATGTGTTGAAGATGTTTCAACTACCAAAACACCAAATTTTATCGCAGTATCTGTAAAATTAACTGAGTTAAGCCATTTTTGTACATCCAACAATTACTTTTTGAGATTTCTATTAAAATCTTTACGRTGGTTCATGAAATATTTTGCTAACAGACAATCATTGTTAATCCCAAAGTTATGAGCAAAAATATGGCATGATTTATAGTGCTCAGARTATGTGTTGGGGGTGAGGCTCAGCTACTACTATTATGATTTTTAGCTCAAAATCCATCAAAYTGGCTGAGTTAGACCATTTTTGTGTTTGTTAACATTGCTAAGCTGTGTCTGCCATCTTGAATGAGGTTGATGTCGAAATAACAGGCTGTAGATGTACTTTGATTATTTTGTGAGAMTTGCTTTAAAATTCACGTAATGGTCCATCATCATATATTTTGGTAGCAGAAAATCAAACAGAAACATGGGGAAAACATTAAAGGCACAGTGTGTAGGATTTTGTCAATTCTTTTAGCCGAAATTGAGATAATCACTAATGACATTAATAAAAAACATGTCTAATCATTGCAGACAAAGACCTTGTTTTATTATCTTTACCTTATAAAAAGCTGTTTATATCTCCATGGTCACGGGTCGCCACACAGGCAGCTGCCATCTTGCACCGCCATCTTGTCTACGAAGGCTCGTGAAGGACAAACTGCGGTGGCGGCATCAAAAATGGTTTTAGTTGTAATACTATAAATGTAATATTTGTTGTCTGTCATTGTAGCTGGGATAATTTTACTTACTAAAGCTCATAATCTTACCACTTGAAACATCACTAGCCCTGAAGCTGCTGGTAGACATCGCGGTTGGAATTATCAAAGGTTTTTGACCTGAGAGACACTGTAGCAACTCCTTTGTGTTTGGAAGCGGGGGGTGGGGGGGAGGACCAGGGAGGATGATTCAACCACTCAACCACTAGATGTCGCTGAAAACAACAAATCCTACACACTGTGCCTTTAAATCTATAAGTGGCTACAATGTTTTGATTGGATTTTTTTCAACAATCTAAAGAAACCTCAGCTCATTTGTTCTTTTGGCTCCTTGAGATAAGCTGTGTCCTGATTCAGAGGCTCCATCCAACCTAGACCGCAGCCCAGGTAGGCCGCCTACTACGCAGTCCATGTAGGCTGCAAAAAACTGCTGTATAATGAAACGGTCTAAGTCCTCGGATGACGTATGTTTGCGTGATCACGCATTACCCCTTTTTCATAGTTTTATATCAAGTACCTTCAGACCTAAAATGCATTGGGACATGTATTCACACATCTTTTCACTGGAGGAATAACTTCACAGTTACAAATGTTACATGTAAACAAATAAAAACAATAATTTGGGTTTAGCTCCAGTACATGTAATTGCATTTTGTTTAACATTTCATTGCAGAAATAATTTCATCAGCTAAGTTGCAAAATATGCATATAAAAACTGCCACCTTTGTTTTCCTGTTTAGTTTATTGATGTCGCATTGAATCCTGGGATATCCTTGGCTGGGGAGAATACTCGGATGCATTCTTCATTTTTGGGATTTTGTGGGCAGCATAAGAAGGAGTCCATGCATTGGGACAGCCTTTGGTGTGGGGCAGTGACATAAGCAGCCAACAAATACGCACTTTGAAGACCGCAGCCCTTAATTGTCCTTATGTTGTTACGTTAACATGTAGAATAAAAGAAATGGAGAGAAAATCTAAATAGTCTCTTTTGTTATGGTAGCTCTCTTCCTTCCCTCATTGGTTGCTAAATCATGCTGGGTGCCTCCTGGACTCCAGCCAGGTGATCYGAACAGGAATGCACCCCATGCCATCTCTCCTTTTTGGCCTTTCATGGCTAATCGGGCATATCCTGCTGGGCTCATTCTCCTGCTTCATTTATGACCAAATGAAGCAAACTTTGACCTGTCAGACAGTGAGCATTTTTCTTCAGATTGAAGTGGGACGTTTGTGGGGGAAAAAAGATTTTCTGCTCTTTTCCATCATGTTTGCATTCTCTGTAGAAAACACAGATCTTTGTGTTTCTGTATCTACAGCATGTGGGTGTGTTCCTTTCGGACGCCTACTTTTCAGTAACAATGACTCGCCAATTCTTGGGAGATTGTATTGACTTTGTCTTACCAAATAATGGAGACAAAGTACAGTACAAGAAAATTGTTGGTTGCTGCAAACTACAAACATTTTTAAAGCAACATAATAATAGTTGAAATAAACAAAAGTTCTGAGCAAAATCAACTCGTATAAAAGAAACAAACATTAATGGCTGCATTTTTAAGTAAAATCTTTTTAGATTTAAATTAAACTAAATTACAAYGTAGTTATTTTGTGTTTCTGTGTTTGTACTTTATGTCTAAAGTCATCCATGCTTCAGCATGATGGCACAAGAATAAAGTCATAGATGAAGCAACAGTTCTACAATTTTTTTTGGTTTGCTCCTCCATTTATGGATAAAAATGCAACATTCTTTGTGTTGCAATATCTTTCAGCCACCAAAACAGGCCCATTTCCCTCGCCTATATGTCTCCACCATGTCACATTTAGAAGCAAACTCCAATTTGTCAAAATTAATTAGAAAGAGTCTCGTTCCACGAACCCATCAGCTATCAGAGAATTGCATTTGTGGTCGTCTGTTTATGTTCGATGAATTTCATATTAAGCAGGCAGCCTTTAGTGGTGAACTTGTTATTACGTGGCTTTCAGTGTTGTCCAAGTTCATAAGCTTTGGGTTCAACAAACTGATTTATAACATCAGCCTTAAAGATGACGGCTCTGTTCATAACAGGATGTGGATGGGAACAGTTAGTCCTCCTAAATCTGCTCCGTTTTTCTTTGTTCTGATGACACAACTTTTTAAATCTATTGCTTGAAGTGGATTTCCAAACTTTATTTTTTTTAAAAAGGGCCTGCATGAGCCATTGTTTTTGTCAAATGGACTAATTTTTCTTCCAGATGCATCTTCACAAAAATACCGATAGATTCTCTGTTTCTGTCCAAATAACATGTGAACTTTATCTTTTTTCTTTTTGACAGGTTTAACATGTTGACCTGCCTTTCTGTTCCTAGGGAAATGAATCGGATTTTATATAAATACTTAAAAGATGCATTATTATATTTTTTTTTCCCTTTTTGTTTGTGTTTACTTCTGTTCCTTGTTGGAGCTGAATTTATCTGACTTTTGCGTCTGGGATTTTTTGCAGTTTTATAAGACAAGTTGAAGTGCTCATGATGTGATGTTTTTTTTCCCCATTTTCTAGTTGAAGCAGCCTGAAAAGGCAGCTGCGGCAGCTCACACTTACTTCCAGGCCAATCCAGAACATGTGGAGATGGGTCAGGACCTCGAACAATACAAAGACCTGCGAGGGGTAGAGGAAAACCACTTTGTGGAYCGAGAAGCCCGGCCTCACCAGGTAAGTCAAAAAGCTTTCATCTGTGAGCTCCTTCATCGTTTATCCATCTTTTTATCTGTTCTTTTAAACGTATGTCTGACCTTCTGCTTATCTTCTGTCCAAAGAAAAAAAAAGTCCAGCTGCTTTTGTTCCGTCAGTGTTGCTCTTGTGTTAATGATCCTTGCAGTTTAATGACTGGAAACTCATTTGAGCTTTTTAATGCTTGTTGTGGTTTAACTCTGAATGCCAAAGAGTTTTGGCTGCAATGTCTGCAGCTCCTGATTTTTCTCTCTCTCTGGTCTTTCTCATTCTATAAAGAGATGCATACAAGGATCAGTGGGTTTTACCGTTAATGTCCATTTTATTTTGCCTTTTTTTAAATAAGMAAATTATGTTGGAGATTTTGTTCAAACATAAATGTCTCTGGGGTCAATAAATTAATCTATGGTATGCTGAATGAATTTTACCTTAAGATATGACTAAAATTGTTCTTCCTGGGTTTAGCTGTGACAGAGACACCACTGGTTTCTTTATGTATTTCTGGAAAATTTACAATGAAATAAGATGACTTCATCACTTAGGGTTGCCAACTGTCCCGTCTTAGCTGGGATGTCCCATATTATCAGCCAGATTATTGTTATTATTGGTTATTGTTATTTTTATCAGGTTAATAGAAGAAGAAAAAGCAGTATCTGCTTCAAGAATTGGCAGCACATATCGATGTATCGGTTAGACTGATGTCAAAATAATTGGTATAGGTATAGGCCTTCAAAAACCTGTTTCGGTCAACCTCTACTTTTTAATCCATTACGTAACATGGAAATAACAGAGCTTAAGGATGTATTCGCACCGGCCTTGTTTAGTCCACTGTTATCGAGCTCTGGTTCATCTGCCTGGAAAGTCCGGTTCATTTGGGGAGGTGTGAACGCGTAATCAAACCCTGATTCAAACCAAAAAAGCAAACTCTAGTCTGCCTGTGGGTCTCTGTTTGGTTGAAGTGAAATCAGGTGCAGTTTGATTGCATGTGTGAACATCAAGTGKACCAAAGACCGCTCCAGAAGCAGGAAGCAGACTATAACGCAGGGCATTCTGAGTAATAACAGTAATAAAGTTACTCATATCCTGTAAATACCTCGCTGGATGTCTGTATAAGGTGAACATCACTGCTGTGAAGTTGGATGGGCTCCTTCTCGGTGCGGTCCTGCCTCATCTTCCACTCATGCTGATACCATTGTTGAAGATTATTTGTTTGGCACATTTGCCAAAAACAAAGGATAAATCCTATAACCACTAAAATCTGAYGTCGCTCCATGTTTGTTTACATTTTGTGAAGAAGGAAGTTGCGCTCCRGGTTTTCCTCTGAGGTTTTTGTGTCGATTCYTTCAGTGGTTCTTGKTGCAGCKCCACCACGTGCGAGAGAGGGAGGGAACAGGTTGTTCACAGGGTTTAGTTCATTTGAAAAAGTGTAGTGTGAATGTGAACCGCACCAAATGGAAATGTAAACAAAACTTTCAATTTTGGTCCCCAGTCGAACTGAGTCTACCGGACCATCAGGTGTGAATACGACCTAAATCTTGTTTAGGAGGATGTAACTCAGATGTTGGGAAAATAAGAAACATTGGCTGTGTCCAAAACGGCAGGACGGGTCCTCCGGAGGACCCAGACTCCCCGGTCTCGGCGGGCCGGGTCCTTGGTAGACCGGGAAGACCTGAAAAAAAGAGGCTGTGAATTTGGACGGTCTAGCCTCCCCTCCTTACCCCGGCGTACGTCTTGTCACCTAGCAACTGTGACGATGCTAAACAAGCAAACTTAAATCAAAACTAGAAAAATATCAATATATTAGCATTATTAATATCACAAAACTATAAAATTAACTTTAAAGTATCATTTGAAGAACTAATTGACCCGCTGTAGGTTCATGTTTATTTCGCGTTTTTTATGACGAAAAAATAATATTTAAAAACACGTCCATACAAATGATAAAAGTATTAGAATTACAACCACTAATTTTTTTTAATTTTTATATCACCAAATTTTTATTTAAAATGTATTCTTTTCTCTCGCTTCGTCCGCCATTACTAGCATAAAAAAATCTCCGGTCGGGCCGCAATGCATTATGGGATATGCTGGGCCGGGAAGGATCCATCAGACCTGTCCTTCGATTCGGGCCAAAGGAAGGACGTATTTGTCGGCCGCATTGGAGGAGTCTTCGGTTTTGGACGTCCTTCGTCGCGGCGCTGTGACGTATGCGGCCGACAAATTCGACCTTCGGAGGACCCGTCCTGCCGTTTTGGACACAGCCATTGTGTGGTGACGTCACATCATTAAGCCCCGCCCCTTGGCAACCCTTTTTGAGATCCAGGTGTTTTTCTTCTCTTCTTCTTCTTCTTCTTCTTCTTCTTCTTCTCTTTATTTGCTTGAATGACTCATAAGGAATTACAAAGGTGTTTAAGACTTTTGCACAGTCTTAAACACCTTACATATTGTGCTGTAATTTCTTTTCCCTCATTTTTACACGTGAYTTTCTGCCACAGCGTGCCTTCACAGAGGCTGTGGCGTTGTACGACACAGGAGACTACGAAGGAGCTGTTACTCTGTTCGAGGAAGCTCTGGTGGAGTACTACAAAGCAGATGTGGAGTGCCGGGCCCTGTGCCAAGGTCCACAGAAGTTTGAGGGCCATGATCACCTCCGCTACCGTTACAGCCTACTTGAACTCGTGTCAGGTAGGAGGAAAAACTCAATCAGAGCACAAGAATGAAGTCTTCTTATATGGCTGCACAATGTGAGGTCTTATTTSTGGTTGAATTAGAAATCAAAACACGATCAAACGTCACCTGGATGGTAGTTTTATGATAAAACATGCAAATTCAAACTCAACTCCCAGTCTCTGCTTTCTTTCTGCTGCTCTGCTCTACAAAAACATTAAAGCAACAGCGATTTAAGAGAACTGCAGCTCAATTTAACACCCGCTAAAGKGGAGCTAAAGTATTGGGTTTCAGTGCCAGAAAACTCAATTACACCAGTGTGATGCCAAAAAAAAGTTGTTGTGTTTTGATTGTCTTCCTGCATAGAAACAAACGTTTGATGTGGCGRGAAGGAGTATTTCCACAGTCAAGCTCTTACACAACATCATCATTGCTATAGATATGCTGGGTCTAGGGTCAGGGTGTGTTTGTTGACACAAGTCAGGCTTTCTTTTCTGTGAAAACGACGGCAGGTTTCGTGCAGTAGCAGCCTAATTGCTGACAAGTGTTCTTTGTCTCACGTATGCCTGGTCGGGTTGGATAAACACAGAAGACAACTGATTAGTTTTGGCCAGGCTTTGTTTTACTTAGGATGAAGGGATTATTTTCCATAACACCACTATGGGAGAGTCTGTGATCCAAATGTTTAGTTGTGCCAAGATGTATGTATATGGGAAAGTAATACGATCCGAGTGTGAGTTAGATTAAAAAACAAAAGGATTTTGCAGCATTTCTTCTGTCTGTGTGAGTTGTTTCACTTTTTGATCTAAAACCTGTTACTGTACCACATAAATCAGTTGTGATTTCTGTTCTTCCGAGACTCTCGGACAGATTTAAACATAACTTTTCTGTCGGAGAGAAAAGAAAGTCATGCTGCAGCTGCTAAGAAGTGACCTCATTGCGCATACATGCTCCCAACACACACACACACACACACACACACACACACACACACAAGCTCGCTATCATCCTCTCTGCTGGCTCGCCTCTCAGCGCTCAACATAAGGAAATGATAAGCATCCTGTCAAATGTTGAGTCTCCAAAGGATGAACAAAGAGCAGGTCCTCTGAATAAACCCAAACTTTACTGAATAAAAGGATCAATGGGATGTTGAACTCGCTGTTCTGTTTTCACAAACATGCCACCATCTTAGCGTAAAGCTGGCTGCTGTTAGATGACAAAGTCTCTGACAGCCAGCAGCTAAATATAATTGTGCGATTCTGAGTTAACAATAAACCACATGGTGCTGCTGCAAAAATAAAAAGTACGCAAATAAAACTAGTTGGAAGCAAAGTCATTTAAAGTGGACGTTTGCAAAATCCACTTTTTCAACCATTAAATGCATTCTGTCGTGTACTTGGAGTATCTATAGGAGTGCAAAAAATTTTAATTTAGTCTCTCTTGGTGCTCCAAAGATATCTTTATATTCTTTTAGGGTCATATTTCTCAGCTGGTTCATTTTTTATGATGTTTTCTGAACTATAAGGCTACAGTATTCGCGACAGAACTCCCAAATAAAGTCTGGATTTACCAACTACAATTTGATGGACTTCATTCTGCTCTGGTTCTGGGTCAGACTCTGGCTCCAACATGTAAGACTGGATGGACAAATTTTCTATTGTAGACATCTTTCTAATTAAATTGTAAATAAAACCTTCGGTGCCGCTGTATAGTTGTAAAGCCCTCTATCAAACTAAACTGAACCACTCTGGAAGCTGGAGGGTGGCGGGGTATGAAGCGCCTCATTTGAATTTAAAGAGACAGCCTCAAAACGAGTTGATCTGAGACCCACATCAGAACAGAGGTGAAAGAGGGGCTTGTGGAGTTACAATGAGGATGAATTCAGAGCAAAGCATTGCAGTTCCACTTTATGTAGACTTTGGCTGTGTCCAAAACGGCAGGACGGGTCCTCCGAAGGTCGAATTCGTTGGCCGCATACGTCACAGCGCCGCGACGAAGGACGTCCAAAACCGAAGACTCCTCCGATGCGGCCGACAAATACGTCCTTCTTTTTGCCCGAATCGAAGGACAGGTACGATGGATCCTTCTCGGCCCAGCATATCCCATAATGCATTGCGGCCCGACCGGAGATTTGTTTACGCTAGTAATGGCGGACGAAGCAAGAGAAAAGAATACGTTTTAAATAAAAATATGGTGATATAAAAATAAAAAAAATTAGCGGTTGTAATTCTAATACTTTTATCATTTGTATGGACATGTTTTTACATATTATTTTTTCGTCATAAAAAACGCGAAATAAACATGAACCTACAGCGGGTCAATTAGTTCTTCAAATGATACCTTTAAGTCAATTTTATAGTTTTGTGATATTAATAATGCTAATGTATTGATATTTTTCTAGTTTTGATTTAAGTTTGCTTGTTTAGCGTCGTCACAGTTGCTAGGTGACAAGACGTACGCCAGGGTAAGGAGGGGAGGCTAGACCGTCCAAATTCACAGCCTCTTTTTTTCCGGTCTTCCCGCTCTACCAAGGACCCGGCCCGCCGAGACCAGGGAGTCTGGGTCCTCCGGAGGACCCTTCCTGCCGTTTTGGACACAGCCTTTATGTAAAAAGAAGGATTTAAAAGCATCGTATGTTTCCTACATTGCCTTTTAGATTAATTTTAGATTAATTGTTAAAACCCAGTAAAAAGTGACACCTCAGTTTGTCCAGTCTAACATGTTCATAGTTGCATATTTAACCAGAAGCATTTTACTTGGAGTGACTTTTTTCTGTGAAGAGCTGCAGCAAATGAAACATAGCCTGATACTAGCATCTATAGGGTTTTTGTRAGGAACGTCAGCCTGCTTAGAGTTCTGTTTTATTCTAATAGGGTTAGAGTGCACAAATTAACCTTTTCAAGTTCAAACTGAAATGTTCCATTGACTTCAAACCAGACAAACGTTGATTGCTACCACAGAATGTCCTTGGACTATTTAAAGAAAAGCTCACGCTTCAGCCCGTCACAGTCAGCGTGACATTATTCCTCAGTACATCCTGGTACCAGACTAAACTCCTGCTGTAGCTTTCCAGAGTCAGCCCCACTGCATCACTGATTTGTCTCCTGGCTTTGCCGACAGGAAAACCTTCTTATCAGCATTATGCTTCGTTTCTTCTCCTCCAGACATAAAGTTGACTTTTTCATCCAGAAAAGTTCCAGTTCAGTTTCACTTCCTCACAGAACAGAACCCCCAAACATCTGTTGTTTGTTCAGATTTGTGCTCACTGGAACTGATATTTATTGTCGCCTCAGGGCGAATTGTGTGTTTTGTCTTGAAATTCTGGCACGCATTGTAACAGTTAAGTCACATGATCCTTCATCATTTACTGTGTTTTATTGGACTTTTTGTCATTATTTTTGTTGCTGATCTTTTTTTTGTTGTGGTTTTTTGCCATGCCCAGGTAGTTTTCTAATCTTAAGCTACACTTAATTACACGTAACTGTTTATTTCTTTCTGATCCAGAAAAATAAACTGGATCCTTTTCATTGCTTTTGCAAAACAATGATGTTTCTTAATCTTGTGAATCTTGTCTCATATTATTTTTATACTCTGAAATACATGACRTTGTAGGAAAATTTCAAATCATAAAAATCCACTCCCTTTCTGAAATAGCTTCCAGGAAAGCGTGTGGTAAATTAAGATTATCGGAGACAGACCTTCACTTCCTCTCACCTGATTTTTCTCAGTCTTTTTTTCCCTTCATCCACTACATCCTGCTCCTCCTCCATCCTCCTCCCAGAGACGTTGATGCTTTTCATGCTGCTTCATTTGATCAGATCTAAAAAATATTCCTTCAAAGGACAAAAAAGATACAGGAACTTGATTTTTTTCCCCATAGAAGTAAAGTTTAATATAAATGTTTTGCCAATCCAATTTAAATAAGCCTAAGCTATTTTGATACTTTAACTTTAAAACTTTAAATGGATCYATGATTAGTTGTAATATTAGACTTTATTTAATAAACATATATTTTAACTGTAAAATAAAGACTGTAAAAATACTGTAGGCTGTTTAGTTTTTGTCATTTTTAAACAAAAAGTTTAAAAATATATTACGCGGATGGGGCCATTTTATTTACACACAAAGCATTCTGGGTAAATGATGACGTGGATAGGTCCTCGGTGTGAGCGAGCTATATCCACCCTGAAGGTTAATCTTGGACAATATCTGACGGTCGACTCTTTTAAATGAAACCAGAGAGCGTTGACAGAGAGGAGAAGGTAGAAATGACTCAGTTGAAAATATGGATTGAGGAACTCAGTTTAGCTTGTTTGTTGTCCTAGCACTGAGCTAATACATATAAGACAATATAGCGTCGGCGCTTGAGCGAAAGCTAACAGGCTAAGCTGAGGTTCTTCTTCCATGAAGCAGCTCTGTTGTCCTCCATCCATATTTTCAGTTACAGGCTGAGTCATTTCTACCTTCTCCTCTCTGTCAACGCTCTCTGGTTTCATTTAAAAGAGTCGATCATCAGATATTGTCCAAGATTAACCTTCAGGGTGGATATAGCTCKCTAGCAGCCTTGTGCCAATGACCTATCCACGTTATCATTTACCCAGAATGCTTTGCGTGTAAATAAAATGGCTCCGTTTGTGTTAAAATATATTTTCAAAAATTTACTAAACTAAACAGCCTACAGTATTTTTACAGTCTTTATTTTACAGTTAAAATAAATGTTTATCAAATAAAGTTTAATGTTACAACTAATCGTGGATCCCTTTAACACTGTAGCTGTAACGGATCCAAAATCTGCAAAGGTGCCGGTGCAAGAACTAAATAATTGTCAAGCAAAACGTACGGTCTCATCAGACTGAAGCCTGACCTGAACCCTTTTTGTTGCAGATCACTTCACTCAGGTGCTTCACTGTGAGCACGAGTGTGTGAGAGACCTCGCTACTCGGCCAGGCCGCCTTTCCCCCATGGAGAACTACCTGCCTCTGCACTACGACTACCTGCAGTTTGCATATTTTAAAGGTGAGTTTGCTGCTATACTCTTGTGTATTTGTAATAACGCTCTGTGACTAAATGGAACCAATCTGTTYGATTTAGACTGAAACACGACATCTGACTGTGTTTAGTGTTGAGGTATGAAAAAAAAAACAGTCTTGGATACACCCAAACACAAACAGGCACACACAAGCACTTATCGTGACCACAAAGAGTTACAGACAGGTTGACTCAATAAGCAGAGGACCCCACCCTGTTTGGAGTTTGTTGCACAATAGTGACTTTATTTGGTGTGTGTTTGCTTRGCTGTATCCAGCCTGACACCGAGGCTCTCGGGGTAAAATGTACAGAATGTGTCTGTCAGTAAACAGGAAGCTTCGTTGTTTAAGTTCCTCTAGGAAAAATGCACAACAATGAAGCAGATTCAGTAAAAAAATTAAAATAAAATAAAATAAAACGTGTCTCGCTGAAAGCAGGTTTCCCCAAAAACTTCTACTGGTTGTGTCCCTAACTACTCATCTTTAAATGTAAAATAAGGATAATGAAGTATCCGTATGTTAAACCCAGTTTTTTACATTTTTGGAATTAGCATGGCCTGCTGTCTGAGACAAGCCGCTGTGGCTTCAGTTTGTRTTTTCCTCTCAGCGCAGCAGTTTGTCGTCACCCAACACTCAGTTCGTTGTGCTTTATCTGCTCAGGTTGTCTAAATAAATCCTCAGTGGTGTAACTCCGAGCTCTCCGGACTTTAGCTGACCTGAAATCACGCGGCTGACAGCAGCAGGATTTGCTGCTTCAGTCGAGACAGGAAGTTTTAGTTTAACCTCCGTGTCGTTAGCGCTCAGTGAAGAATGATTGTGTGGCAGGAGGTGGGTTTGTGGATTTGTGTTCGAAGGAAAATGTTTAAGGACGACCCTGCGGCACTTTTTGTCTCACTTGATCACTGACACCCCGCAGGCTCGTGTGTGCTGTTTCCATCATGTCAACCAGAAAGAAGCTAGTGAGTCTGTGTGAATGTCAGCCATTCTAAACTTTATTTGACTTCAACAAACCCATGTGTGATTATATCAACAGGTTTTAAGTGTAAACCATACAGGAAAAAACTCTGTAAACACCTTTTTGTGTGCAGTGGACAGGCTGGAGGAGGCGCTACAGTCTGCTCTGACCTACCTTTTGTTTCACGAGGGTGAGGAGTTCATGACRGACAACGTGGAGCACTACAGGGAGGTGCTGGGACATGATGGCAAACCGAGAGAGGTCAGTGACATTCATGGTGCGAGGGGGTTCTTTAAAGGCTGCAGGGGGACATTATTTAGCTGGTCTACCAGTGACGAGAGGTGGAAAAATGGATAGAGCAAGATAACAGGCAGCAAATGCTCACTTTGAAATGGTTTATTTCAATCTGTTGGTGGAGCCGCAGTGCTCTTATACGCCAGTCAGCCCCTGCAGAGGAAAGAGATGTCCGAGTCCCTCTTGGACCTGTGGCCTCCACGACCCAAAAACCGATCAGCAGTAGAACATTAAGAAGAAGGAGGAATAATACATTTGTTTTGAACATTTTTTTGAAAACATGAATTTTACACAAGTTATTTACTGTGAAACATTGCATGTGTGCAGGAAACTGCAAGGTATTTGAGGAGACACAAACAGGAAMTGGAGCTCCTTCTGATGGGCAGCAAAATAATGGGAGTAGAATTCACTGAAGGGGTGAGTTAACTGAGTGCAAAAACAAAACTTCTTAAACTTTTATTCTGTTTTCAGAAGTTTCTAAAACCTCGAAGCATGCYGGGAGTGTCAAATGGCTGTTTTACTTTGTTTTAAGAGACATGATGTCAGAGTTTTGATTTAGTTTTTGGCGAACCAGTCCACACGTCTCGGGTCAGYATCAGTTCTCCTGCTGACTCAAAGGAGGCTAACGTGGTAACAGGTGTCCCCGTGCTGTGTAGCACTGTTAGCTTGACCAAGATCTCCACCTGCTGGTCTCACCCACATTTTCACTTTTCAAGTTTCTGTGCATTTTTTTCACAAAACAAATCCAAAACACACTATACTATACTATACTATACTATACTATACTATACTATACT